GGGTGCCCGCGGCAGAGGGCCGCCCAAGGGAGGCGGAGGGGGGCGGGGAGAGGGGGGGGGGGGACCAGCAGACGCACCGATATGGCCGGACGTCGACTCCAGGCGCCCCCAAACGGTCATGGCTCGGGTGTTCCGGCGCTTGAGGGGGGAAAAGCCGCCATCGACATCCCCCTCCTCGGAGTGAGCGCGCTTCTTGGTGGGCTCCATCGTCATCCTGGAGTGCAAGCGGCAGACAGGCGTGGCAGTGAGGGGAAGGTGGGAGGAGGGCAACCGGGCGAGGGGCAGGGCGGGGGGCGGGCTTTGGGGGGGGGGGGGATATCCGAGCAGGCCCGGCCGCGCACCGCGCCGCCGGCTCCTCTTTTGGGCTAGGTGCACGCCGAGGAGCGAAGGCCGCGCTCCGGCCGCCCTGCACCTGTGCCCAGCCCCTGGGAACGGCGCGCGAGAAACACAAATGCCCGGGGAAGGGGGCCGACGCCCGGCTGCAACCCGCTGGGGGGAGAGGGGGGGGGTCCAGGCCGGCAGGATGTTTGGCGCCGTGGCGGTCAGATCGCCCAGCCGTCCCCGCCTTGGGGCTCACATCCGCGCCCGGGCGACCCGGCCCGCGCCCCATTGTTTGTACCGGCCCTCCGTTTGCCGACGCGCCGACGCACAGGGCGTGGCGCGACACGCGCCGGATTCGCCACCGGTGGTAGACCGGCCGGCGGGGCGGCGGGGGGGGCCTGTTCGACCCGATGGCCCCCTCCCCGCTCGGGAAAGGGCGAGCGGGGGGGGGGGGCCGGCCGGCCGACGCGGCCCCTGCGCGGCATGTGGCGCCGCTGCTTGCTGGGGCAGGAAGATGCCCCCGCCCGGGGACGCGGGCCAGCACGATCGCCCCTGAGCGGCGCGGCGGGCCGGGCCCGGCCGGGCCGGGCCGGGCGGGCAGCAGGGGCGCCGCACGCCGCGAAGGATCCCCCCGCCCCCTCTCCCTTGGGCCGGGGCAAACAAATCGCCCGACCTGGTTCTGCAGAGTGTGATTCTGGATTCTGGGATACCGGCCGGACCTCTGCGTTGGTAGAGGCATGGCGCTCGTGGCCCAGAAGAATGCAGCATGGCAGGATGGTTGCCGCGCCGGGCCCCGCCCGCGCTGGGCCGCGGCCGGGGCCGGGTGAAACACCCCGCCCCCCCCCCCCGGGCCCGGTGGCCGCCCGGGCGCCCTCGCTAGGCGAAGGTGGCAGCCGGCGTGCGCCGGGCCGGCCGGCGGACTGCCAGCGCGCGCCCGGCACCGGACCCGCTCCTGCCGGGCCTGGGTGGACGCCGCCGCCGCCGCCACGCGCCCCCGGGCCGGGGACCGGCGCCCTCTTGGCCGCCCGGCGCGCCTGGGTGCGAACGCCCATGGACATGCACGCGCGCCTGGGGCCCTTTCCCCTGCCGGCTGCCGGCTGCCGGCTGCCGGCTGCCGGTGGGGTGGGGGACCCCCCCCCCCTGGCTGGGCCCCGCGCCGATCAGGACCCCTGCTGTCGGTCGGGTGCGCGCCTTCACGTGTGGGAACACCGGCCCGGAGGGGCGGGGGGCGCGGGAGCGGCCTCGTTGGTCCATGGCGGGGGAGACCCGCGGGCTATTTGTTTTCGCCGGCCGCGCCCCACCAGACCCGGCCTGCCTGGGCGCCGGGCACCGCCGCCGCCGCCGCCGGCGGGCCGAAAAAAACGGCCCATCTCCGAGGGCGCGAAGTGCGCGCGCGCGCGCGCGCGCGTGTGCGCGCCCGCCCGCCCGTGGGGGCACCACCCAAGCCACCCCCGGACGGGCCGGCACCCGGGCGGCGCGGCCCCGCTGGCAGGTGTGTTGGCACCCCCCGGGTGACTGAAACGGCAAAAGTCCCAGCGGGGCGCCGCGGCGCGAGCCCCTCCCGTCGTCGTGCGCCGCCGTGGCTCCCCTCCCTCGCGAGAAGAGCGGGGCACACCCGCGCACAGACCGGATCCGTCCCCTCCCTCCCTTCCCGGGCACAAAGGGGGTATCTTTTTCGGCCGGTCTAGCTGGGGGGCCAGCCCGCCCGCGAGCGGCTCGACCCCGCCTCCCCGCCCCTCCCCCCCCCCTCCCCCCCACGCACCCCGCTGCACACGCATCTGCACCGCCGCCGCCACCACCGCCACCACCGCCACTGCTGCTGCCGCTACCCACACGCACGCACGCCTCCCTCTTCACCTGGCCTGCGCCGCGGAGCCGCCCCTTCCCCGTTCCCCCCTCCACGCCTCGGTGCATGGATCTCTGGTGCGTCCGCCACCGGCGGGGCCTCCGCCAGTCTGCCCGGCCAAGCTCTTGCATCTGACCCTCTGCCACCCTCCGGAAGATCGGTCCTCCCCTCCCTGTCGCCCAGAACAGCGCCTCGCCATGGCCGACTCCCCGAGCGCCACCCCCGCGGCCGATGGCTCGGCCGTTGCCAAGAAGGTGCGCCCTTCGAACCCGCCCCCCTCCCCTCCCTCTCTGACCCACGGCTGACGGCCCTCTCGCCCCTCCTCCCCCCCCCTCTCCACACCGGACGCAGGCCCCCACCAAGCCGAACTACACCCAGACCCACGTGCTGCACGGGCACAAGAAGTCCATCTCCTCGGTCAAGTTCTCCCCCTGCGGTCGGTTTTTGGCCTCGGCCTGTGCGTCGCCTGTGCCTTGCGCCCTCGCTCGGTCTTTCTCTCTCTC